TAGTGGTATTATTTTCACCTCACCTACATCTTACCAATTTAAATTTTTCTATTTTTGTTTTGTGAAGCATAGTATTGTGGCTAATTCAAAATGGGTGCCCTGTTTACCTCTACAAGCAGCTGTATTTAATTTGGCTGGAAATAATACAATATACAGTTTGTTTTACGCAAAATGTATTTTAAAAGTGCATTGGGATCTATCCAGTCAAGACAACTCTATGTTCCTCCGGAATATCGGTAGCATAATGTTACAATGAATCATCACAGAGAAGAGAAGAGAATGAAATGACTGGAGGAGCTCATCCAAGAAGTATGGACTAATATGCCAGAAGCAGCAGGGTATAAAACTCCAGAGCACTCACAAGGAGAAAAACAATACTCTGAGTTTTGTGCAAAGATCCTTCCATCAGTGTCAGAACACAAAGTTTACCATTTCTGTGAATTTCTACAGCAGAAAAAGAATAAAACATTTCCTGGACATTAACCACAATCTTGTGATGATCAGGTTTTAATACTTTAACCTGCCCACATCAGTTAAGCCTCAGCTTAGGGGGTTTTCATACCTTTCCCTTTCTCCCCTAACTCCTTCTTAATTTACACAGTGCTATTTGTCAATATTTCCCCTCCTTGGATATCTTATAACACATAACTGTGTTTTAAACTTAACTGGATTTCATATCAGAAATATTTATGTAAAAAACTCCAAGAACCAGCAAAACCCAACCCAAATAAAGAGATGTCTGCAGGCATAAAAGAAATGCATCTGCATGGAAGACAGTATTCTAACTAGATGACAAAGCTCATGTGGTATATAAATAAATCTTCTATGAGTTAGCACAGCTGGCAGAGAGGCAAGAGCCTATTTATTTTCAGCCAGTAGTTTGCAAATACCTAAAGCTTGAAATTCCAAAGACGTCATCTGAAAACAAACAGGATTTCATCCTCTCTATAAAAGTCTGCATCTCCACCAGGTACACAAAAATAGATCCATGCACTGGAAAATCTAAACCTCTTGCTCAAATGAGGCCAACCTGCAGAGTTTGGGGCAGGGATGTTTCCGTTCCCAATGAGGATGGATGCTGCCTGCCCCTAGCGCTGTGGCTGTGGAACACAGAATGACACTACAAGAACATCTCCACAAATTTGCTGGCTGTTGCCATGCTTGTGTTACAGACCCATACAGTCCATAGCCCATCCCAGCAGCTGAGCCTGGAAGAGTTCAGGGGTTTGACTCAAATAGATTTATTTAGCCTCATAACTTGGGTTCCAGTGCTAGTCTATGCAGTAAATCCTGAAAAGTAGCTACCACCATTTTGATGTAGTTATTGTCCAAGAATATCTAGTTCTCCATCTCCTTTATGATCTTTTTTGATAGCTAAACTGTGGGATCCCATGTCCTGGCAGACAGGGAGGAATTCAACTTAAGGTTAGGATTCACCACCCTGTGGAGTTAGCATCCAATTTGAATTTCAGTGGGATTGCCCTTCCCTTCAAAAAGGCCTAATGTGCTAATGCTCTGTGGCTAATCCTAAAATGCTGTGTAAAATACCTGCAAGAAAAAGAAATTCTGTGGATATATTTTGAAACTTAGTTCATCTCTGCAAATCCTATGGAACAATGAGATTTTATTGATATATTTCTTACAGCTTTTATAGGATCACAAGTAGAAAAAAAACCACCCAAAAAGCAAATACAAAACTAAAGAAAATAAATAATAAATTGAGATACACCTAGAAGAAAATGCTAAGAATATACACTACAGTCCAATTTCATAGGTAACTTGCTAAAAGTAAATGGCTTAGCTGAAACTGTTAAAAGGGAAGCAAGAATCAGAAATACAAAAAGCAACTAAAATAATCCAGTAGAACAATTCAGCAGTTTTTAGGATCTGGGGGTTTGCTTTCTAAACATGCCTTACCAAAAAAAACCAGGTGAAATTAGTTATTATTTACTGCAGCTTTGTGCAGATTTACAGGTTTGGAATGAATGAATAATTATGTGATGTTTCCAGGTTAAAAAGTGGAATCAGTGTTGACATCTGCATGCCTATTAATATTTCTTTATGAGCAATTGCCTGTAAATTTAACACTGACTGCTTTCAGCAAGCAGCAATATTTTAAGACATCTTCAGACAAAAAATATTCAATCTTTTTATCTACATTTAATTGTCAGAATCTGTTTATAAAACTACACGTTTACGGCTTTCTTTAATTTTGCTCTCCACCACTAAACAATATTACTAACTGTTTTATATGTGTATGCTTTTCAGTTTATGTGGGATGTGGCAGCAACCAATATGCATAAGCTTCCCCAATCTTGAGTGACAGGTAAGATATAAAATTGATATCATGATCCATACTATTATGTGTGGTACAGTAATGACTATTTAGTGATGGTGCAACAAAGGTTTTGACAGGTCTCTGATTTATTAAAGCAGACCTGATTCTCATGCCGGGTTACAGGTCTCTAAGCAGATACTGAGATTGGTCAAGTATTACGTAGCTGGCTGAAATTGTGTGTTGAAACTCACTGCTAAAAGATAAAGAGAGGTGAAATCCCAAGGGAAGTTAAAATGCTCACTTTAAAGATTATGTTCTAAGGGTAAACATAAGCTGAAACAGCTTGAAAGGAAACCCATGGCATGATTTGGGCTGTGCCTGAATTTGTCTGGGAGATCTGTTCTCTTCCTAATTCCAGTCCCCAGTTCCCTTCTGCTGTTGCTGGGGAAAATGATGGGGAAATTTGTCAACCTTTTAGGCAGTATCTGCACAAGGGGAAATTCTCCCTTGATTAACAAAGGTCTCTTGCACTCATTTATAGAACCAGAGCTGGGCTTTTTGGGCTCATTCCTTTGTGAACTGCATCTCTGGCATGCTCCTTTAAACAGCAGAAGGTAGAAAGGGATTTAGTAAAAACCATTGTGGAAACTACTTAGTAGTGAAAAGTACTCCTTTTGGCAGTGGGGATAATATTTCCAGATATTCTTGAGTGTGTAACTCATTATATATTTGAACTAGAACAAAGTTTTTGATAAAAAACTCATAAAGTGTAGATTATAGTCTTTGAATAGCATAACATTTGGAGTATAAAGCAAAGACAGTTGAAATATCCAGGCCACTCCTGTGGATATTTGCCTAATATTATTTTGGCTAACAGCTCCATTTAGGGCTGACACACTGAAGATTAATCTGTCCTTGATTTTTTTTTTTTCTGGCAAGGATGAGCAAAAGAGTATATTTTTAGATTTAAAATTACAGACAATATGATGGGTCAAGGACAAAATTCTCCTTCTTGCCTAGTTATTGAAATAGCCCAAAACACCAAAACATAGAGATGCTCTTGTGCTCTTGTTAGCCTTGATGCAATGGAAAGAATACTGTACTGGAAAGAAGCTGTGAATCTGAAAATTCAAAGTTTCTGTTAGTGATAACTGTATGTCACAAATTTACCTAAGCATCATGTTTTGGACTGTCACAACACAGAACTACCCAATGGAAGGATACGACCAACCACTAGATCTTTTCCCACAAGTTATAAAGTAATCAGTCTGTGCATGGGCAGAGATATCAGATTTATAACTAGAAATGTTTTTTCAGTAATATTTCATAAATGATTTCTTGAAATCACGCTAAAATAAATAGTACAGGGAGGCTGCAGGCTGTGGCTTCCTGATGGTTGTAGGCATTCACAGTGCCACCATGGAAGTCAGTTCAGCACAGAACTGTGCAAGATGCCAGTAGCACAAATAGAAATTACTGTATTTTGCTCCTACAGGTAGTGCATGAGAGAGCATATTCTCTAATGAGATACTATGTGCTGTAACAGAAGAAAATAGAGACTGAGGTTTGAATTTCTTATTTCCAGTTCTGTGTGATGTTTTGCAGGGAATATCATAAATGAAGGAGTTTCATTCTGGCAGTCCAAAAATCTGGATGAGGCAATTCTGACAGGACATAGAGCTATACCTGGGGAAGATATTAATCTCACAGTTTAGTCAATACAGTTTTTGCTCCCATCACTAATTCCATTACTGAATTGTGTACCACTGATGTCCTGTTAATGCAAATTCTTCTTTCTGTCTAGCCAGCTGGCAGGCAGGCAGCACAGGCAGCCTCCTTTTTCTGCTGCAGTTAGTACAGCAAGCCTGGTCCTGCGGTGCTGAAACTGAGAATATCTCCCCCTTAAAGCAAGAAATTCATTCTTTTATTCATACCACATTTTCATTATTAAGAAAAAACTATGGTTCATAAAGTATTACCCTATGGCAATATGCAGACTTTAATATTAATGCCATTTTATTATAAAAAAACCCCTCCAAACCAGAAAAGATTAAACTCAAGCATGAATAAATACCAGTATCTTCCTGGAAGCTACATCTGTGCCCTTCATCTCCCATCTTTTGACATCCTGTGAACATCTCCAGAAAGTTACAGAACATTTTCTTTTGAGCAAAAAGCCCCCTCATGGATATGAATGTGTTCAGTAGTCTTTGAGAAATGTCTAGAGGTCTTGTAATTTCTCACTCTCAGAGCTCCAAGCTGGCTGTATGCCACAACCAGATTTTACACAATAATCAGACAGACGCTCAAATAATTGTTACTCAGTCCCTTTGCCTTAGAAAACATCCCTTCCATGAGATTCTGCCAGTTCTGCTGACTGATAAGAAAATGTGCATTCAAATTGGTCCTGCTTACAAAAACTACAACTGACAACACTGTGCAATTTGAGAACCACAAGCCTTAGGTTATTCCTGGGTTCTTTGAATCAGCGTGAAACGTGCTTCTGTGCTGAGACGTCCAACTCTGCAATTTTAAGCTTCCATTTTATTCTTGGCAATCTTATCTCCGAAAGGCAGGATAACTGCAGTAATTGCACATCTCATTTCAGAAAAATAAAGAAACATTCATTTTCCATTTTAATAGTTTACTGGAAACTGGTTCACAAGGAATGAAGAGACTGATAATGAATGAAAATGAAAAACAGCAAGACCCAATTACTCACCCGTGCAAGGCTGGTTCCAGAAGGGACTTTATACGGGACGTACTTTCTGTAGATGTGTCCAACTCGAGAGCATGGAACATCATACATGCCACCTCCACACATCCACACCTGGAAAGCAGACAGAAAGCAAGTGAAAGAAAGAATGGTTCCTGGAAACAAACATGGCAAAAAAACCCATTTTAACTAACGTGTATGGGAAAAAAACCACATCATTCTGTGCTGACCCCTCCCACAGTCATGGTGGTCTTCTTGGCATGCTGGTAACTGGGATATGGTAATGTGGCAGACTCTCCCCCCCAGAACCTCACTGTGCAAAAGCAGAGTATGTTCAAAAGAAAATTATAAAATATATATAAATAGAATAGAAAGGAAATAGAAATAGAACTACAATAGAAATAGAAATGAATAGAATAGAACAGAATAGAATAGAATGGAATAGTTCAAGTTGGAAGGGAGTTTAAGTTCGACCACTTTCACTGTGCTTGACTGTTTGTGTTATAGTGGGTATACCTGCCTGGTCCTGGAATCCAGCCCCTGACTGACTGTGCTATTCATACTGTGAATGGTGAAAATAGGGGTTAGAGTGAAGGTTTGAATGACAAAGTGCTTTAGATAGCTGCTTCTTACAGATCATTTATGTATCAGCCCTTACAGTCCCTTAGCAATTAGCCATGGAATCCAACTGAGACCTGATAATGAAATGTTTGACGATCTAATCTCATTACAGAGCAAACCTAAATACACTAATGTAAATGTCTAAGGAAGGCTTGAAAGTAGCAGAAGTGGGGCTTTGTCCTTAAATTCCATGACAATGATGTGCAGTCAGAGTTGAGAGCTACTCTGGAAGCTGCTGCTTACTGTCTGCCATCACAGAATTGACTAAGCCATAGGAGCTCTGGGTAGGTGCCTCAGGACATGTCATTTACTCTCCTAGTAAGCACAGTCCTTCTTAAGGAGGAAGTTCGCTGGTAGATTGGGAATGGAGACTCAAATGAATGCTCTGCCTCCATGCCAAAATAGCTTATTACCACCCAGAGCAATCTTGAAAGAAGTCATGCCATGCAGACACGAGGATCATTTTCTTGAAAAAAACAAAACATTTTGTAAAATCTGCCTCTTAAATTAACCTTGAAATCCTCACCTGTTTCATCTCATGACAGCTAACTCAGTGGAAAACGTGCATAAACATAGTAAAATATCATAAAAGCAAGAGTGTTAAAATAATGTTATTTACTTTTCTAACAGTATTTCCATTGTATGTTACATCATTTGTATTTTTTTTAAGTGGAAATTTGCTCTCTGTGGCTGTCTTCAAACAACCCAGTGCTCAGTGAAAGCGTGGACCTATGCTTACTATTTGTTCTTGTTTTTTAAAGGAGGTGTCATTTCAAAGGCTAGACAAATTATGTGACTCAAAGGTCAGCCCCAGCAAAAATTTAAAAGACAAGAAAGCAGAAATTACAGATATATGTACATACATACATATTTATATATATATAGGCCAGTATTACTTTAACTGAGGCAGTGAGAGCTGCAGGAGACATATACTGCATTTCCTCTAAAGCAGTAGGGTAACAGTATAAAATAAAAAAAAAAAAAAGAAACCCCAGTCAGATATGCTGAGGCAATAACAAGTGGGAGGAAATAACACTGTGTTAGGCTTATATTTGATAGATATAAAACCTGAAAATGCTGTGCTGCACCTGAGGTATGCTGTGCAGGGTAATTGAAATGAATCTTGGGCTGCCTTGAAGGATATTTAGCAGCTGTTCCTGTTTATCTTTCAGCTTCAGAATGGTATTAAAAGCATTTTTTATACTTTCCTGAGAAGATCAATTCTGGCAACTTTGTCTTTAAAATGTGCATTTTTCTGTCACACGCACTAAAAACAAGAAATTGGAGAATGACTTCTGTGTTAAGTATTACAGACCTCCAGCATACCATGAAAGAAACTCAGGTGGTGTGGGACATTTGGCAAAATTATATCAAAAGCAATGAAACTCTCAGGATCGTTAATGTCTCCTTCTTACAAAAGCAATGAATCTGGTCTGCAGCTGAGGTATAAAAAACAAAGATGAAACCAAAATAATGCAATTCCAGCTTGGAAAGATCAAAAGAGTAGTTTATGTGTCAACTAGAGACTATCTCACAATTTATCTTTATATGGCTCCTTCCAACAGAATGTTGCAAAACATTTTATAGGGATGGTTGAAGGCAAAAAGCAGGCATTAACACAAGCTTTAAAAGAAATTAAGCTGTGGTTATGTGGCTTTGTTCCTAACTGGAGTTTAGATGCCACAGATGTGTTTTTTGGCTCTGTTCTAGAGCTCCTGTGGGATTTTGGGTGAATCACTCTCCTTTCACATTACTTCTTTGTCTTTTAAATTGAATTCTGCCTTCTCTTGTGATTCCCCCACCTTATCTCTCTGGTTTATGAGTGATCCGGCCTGGAAACTACCTGGAAAATGTAAATACTGTGCATGCAAGACTGAGATTCCAATCCATATGCTACACTGTAGTCATAATTACTGTAGTAAGAGACTAATGATTTTGGAGCAGTGGAGGATGTGTTGCTGGAGAAAAGGAACATAAACATACAGCAAATTATTCAAAGGATTTAGAGGGTACTGAATGGACTTTGGATTAGGCTTCAAAACTTATTGAGAAATATACTGCTGCTGAGAGTCAGTAGCAAGACAGACAACAGTGAGAGATATAGAAATGAAGGGAAAATACAAACTGTAAACTGGTGAAAGAGGAATATAAAGTATTGCATGCAAAGGCAACAACTTGGTGCTCTTCATATTGTGCAAGAGGGATGGACTACAAACAGGAGAAACGTATTACAACAGTGGGGCTGAAAAAGTTGTAGGAAATAAGAATATAAAAATTTTATGGGATTTTTCACTCTTCTTGAAATATAAGCCAAAAGAACAGATTTGGCAGTTGTAGAAAAGGAAAAAGAACAATATTTTCCTGTGAACTTTTACACACAGTGAGAATGTTCCTCTAAATGAAAGAAAAATTGAAAAATAGGATCACTGACAGCAAATCTACAGTCAATGGGTCTGAAAATTGCAAAACCATTTACTGGAGGTGAAGTGGGATTTCCTGTCAGGAAATATTAAAACTGTACCATGTAAACTGGGAACTGATGACTGTGGGTATTTCAACAATACTCACCAGCACCTCTAAAATTCTGAGAAAACTGGCAATATTCCACATTTGTCAGTCCTTTATATAGATTACAACTGCACTAACAAGTGGCAATGCTCCTCCACTCCCTATCTGCTGCCAAGATTGACAGCTGTGGAGGGAATTAATAGCGATTATGATGATAATGAAAGGGATTAATGAACTTGGAGGTGTGTTTTGGAAAACAGGGATGAAGACAATTAAAAAAAATGCATTGGCATGGATAAGGATGAAACAACTGTAGATACAGATGACTATCTTCAAGAGAAGAGGGAATCAGCATTAGCATTTTTGTTAAAGTATGATTTACGATGCCTAAGGAATGTCTAGTGCAAAGGATTGCACTGGGTTTTCATGTCCAGGTTTTGGTAGCAGGGTGGCCATAGAGGTGGCTTCTGAGAGAAGCTGCCAGAAGCTTCCCTCAGGTTCAACAGGGCCAATGCCAGCTGGCTCCAGGATGGACATGCCCCGGTCCAAGGCCACCAGCGATGGCGGTAGTGCCTCTGGCATAACAGATTTAAGAACAGGGAAAAGTTCCTGTGCAACTTCAGCCAGAGAGAGGAGTGACAATCCCTGAGAGCACCAGCTCTGCAGGCATCAAAGTCAGGGAAGAAGGAGGGGGAGGAGGTGCCCCAGGTGCTGGAGCAGAGATTCTCTTGCAGCCTGTGGTGAAAACCATGGTGAGACAGTTGTGCCCCTGCAGCCCCTGAAAGGTTCATGGTGGAGCAGAGATCACAGAGGACCTGCTCCCCCTGGAGGGCCTCATGCTGGAGCAGGTTAAGATTGTGAGGACTCCTCTCCCTGAGGAGGAAGGAGCAGCAGAGACAACACATGATGAACTGACTGTAGTCCCCATTTCCCGTTCCCCTGAGAGTGAGGAGGAGGAGAAAATTGGGAGGGAAGTTGAGAAGAAGGGAAGGGTAGGGGAAAGTGTTAACATTTGGGTTTATTTCCCATTGCCCTACTCTGATTTGCTCAGTAATAAAATATTTTTTCCCCAGTTCAGGTCACCTTTGCCCATGATGGTAACTGGTGAGTGATCTCTCCCTCTCCTTATCTTGATCCAGGAGCCTTTTGTTATATTTCCTTTCCCTTACTCACATGAGGAGGGGGGGTTAGAGCAGCTTTGCTGGGCACCTGGCAAACAGCCAAGGTCAACCACAAGGGTGTTCAGGAAACACAGGACATTAGTATGTTTTGCTACTCTGTATTGTGGTGATTACTACATAAACTGTGCCTGTCTAATAGATTTAAATCTAGGATTTCCCAAATAGTGGCTTTCCTTGTTATTGTGAAGAAATGCTATTAATCAGGTGAGCTCCAGTGCTTTGCAGCTTTCACAAGTCTAGCACACACCAAAGAGTACTGTCAGCAAGATGTCATACACCTTTTGATTAAAAAAAAAGTGCCCTGATGTTGCCAAAAATTAAAATCCTGAATGCTTTCTTATGTAAAATTTAATCTAAGAAACTATTTAATGAAGAAGTCATATTTTGAGACAGTTTGTGGGTGTGTCACCATCCAGAGTACTCCAAATAATTATTTGCCAAGCAAATTAAAGTAAGATGTGGCATCAACACACAGCACCTGTCCGACAACACTTCCACAGGCCATAGATGTGGATGCTCTAAGAAAGAGTAAATTGACACCTCTAGATTCACTCAAGTGAAGCCAGGGAAGCTGAACCAGTCTGGTTATTTGGCTTTTTCACTGACTTTCACTGATCTTGGAACAATTTGCAAGTCCACTATCTTACCAAGTTTTCTCAATAGATCTGGTAAATTGAACTGTCTGGCTAACTTGTCCTCATTTAATAAGTTTTAAGATAACTCAATCTATAGCTACAGTAGAATCTGCTGAAGCAGAAACCTTTCCCAAGCTGATTGTGGTGATTCTGACATAAAAAACCTCAGTTCTTTGTCTCTTCCACCTCTGTGATTTTTTCCAATTTTTTGTTATTTCAAACCAAACAACAATTTTCTTTTTTATTTTATATCTCTTAAATTCTTCCAATAAGAATTTACTCCTACTTGGCAGTAATTTCTAAAGACTATTTTTTTCTTCTTTTAACACTAGTAAGAAAGGACAAGGACCCTAAGGTTATTATATACTAATGTGATAGATCCAGAGATATGACTGAAATGAGACCCAGTGTGCCACAGCTGCCTCCAAAAAAAAAAAAATCTATCACTTGAACAAAACACTGGGACAGTCTGGTATCTCAATTTCCAGTTGTGTTACCGTGGTTTCTATACAAAGTCTGGAGAGAACAACAAGTATATTCTTTGCGATGATGAATAAAAGGAATATTTGAAATAGGATAATAAAATCATGGGTGACCTGTCAGAGTCCATTGTGACAGCTGCAAGTAACTACTTATATTTGCCTCTGAAACAATCTAAATGGACAGAAGGTAAATCAATATATTCTAAACATACAGTCTAGCTATTGAGTTTCCCCTGCCTTCCTGTTTGATTTTCCTGAAGTATAAAAATGATTTGGAGAAACACGAGAGTAAGCCAGTTAATGCAAAACATTTTGCAGTTCTTGGAACTCCTGTAAAGAGAGGCTGGAAAACCAGTGCTGGGTGACACTGTACATTTCAGTCAACAGAATGGCCTCAGCATTGTTTTAATTGCAGCTGAAACTCAGCTGCAAGATATCTGATATTAGTCATGGCTGACATGTTATATTTATTTAAAGAGCTTTACACTAACAGAGTTTGGAAGTAGGCTGGAAAGATCCTGGAGGTAAATTTGAATTGCAATTTCAGTTCCAAGCTCTATCCAAATACATTTGATTCAAATAATCTAAGTCAGGAAACTCTATCAAGCCCTTGCAAAACTTTGCATGTAGAGACCATGAGGTAAAATTTTTATGTCTTTGGGTATACTGGGAAATAAACTCAAAATTAGACATGTTAGTCCTCAGTAAACTAATAAAAATACCTGTCTGACATGTAGAAAGTAACAAGACTTTCAGCTCTACATGTAAATGCCAAGTAACTGATTTCAATACACATGTCCACATACAGGATATGAAGGTATACTATAACATGGCTGGTTGTACATAACCTGAGCACTTGAAATGACCCATATACCATTACAATAATTTAAATGCAATTTTAAAAAGTTTCCTTTGGAACAGTTGGCCTGCAGATAACAACTCATGGCAGCTGAGCTGCTCTAGTGATCCACTGATATTGAAAGGAGCCTTTCTTCCTATGACTTTCTCTATTTCTACCCATTTTCTTGAGCTAACTACAGGGGACCCTATCCCCAGAGGTGATTAAACTTGTTGATCTGGACAGAAAAATTATTCCATTTTCTTTTCTGCTAGATTAGTTCTCTGTTGACTTGTTGAACTGAGCTCAACACTTGAGCACAAACACAGCATCTGAGCGAAGGTAAGTGGAGAAGACTTTGATAAAAGGGAAAAGGTGGAACTTCATTCTTTGACAGTGGTAAGGTACCATGTTTTCAGAGGGAGCTGCACCCAGTGTGATTTTTATATGGCTTCTGGAGCATTTGCTTATGGCACTGTGGAAATTCCCAATGAAAAGAAGTATTGTAGTAAATTAATTTTAGTTAAAAAAGACAGAAGCCCAGATGAATAAAAGCATCGTGATAACACCAGCAAGGAAGTATTCTATAAAGTGGCTTGATGACTTACCTTAAAGGAGATTTCATACTGCTCTCCTCCCCATATTTCTAATCCTGGATCATAGCCTCCCAGCTCCCAAAACCATTTCCGGTTAACGGCAAACAGACCTCCAGCCATTACAGGAGACCTGAAGGATGAATAAAGCAACACAAACAATAATGAAGATGTTTGGCCCATGTGTGTGTATGTGCCCTCTGGGTGTGTTTGTAGGAATGTTTGTTTGAGTTGTGAAGCTACGAAAGGCATAGATAAACATATATGATAGCAGTGCAACCAAACAATATTTCCCTTTATTCATCCAAAGAGGGGCTCTAGATGAGAAACAGGCAATGTGGTAGATCTGGAGAATGGTAGACAGTCATGCACAAACTCCTTTTTAAAAAAAAATCCCAACAAAACCAAGCCCAAAAAACTAATAGCCTTCCCAAAAGTTCTGTTTATTGCTAAGTAACAGAGAAAGAAAGGGACTCTGGAAAACTGCCAAAGTACTTAATGAGTCTCAGTACTCCATGTGAAGTAATGTGCATTTGAAAGTGAGCAAAAGTTTTCAATTAATTTCAGTCTCATATGTGCTGGCTAGAGAAAGGCAGAAAGGTGAAAGAGGATGGCTGAAGAGAAGCTGTTGGGAGTTAAACATCTGCTTTCCTAAACATTTAGAACTCCTCAAATGTGTCTCACAGTGGTAATTTGACTTATAGGCAAATAATTTGCTATGCTTCCCATGTTTCCATTTATTCCATTAATAATTATGTGACATTTTCTTAAATTAACTCAGTCTTTTCCACAGACAATATAGAATACAAATGAGATATTTAAAGTTATTGTTAGAGAATAACGACAAAAACATATTGCAAATTTATAAGCAGGAATTTTGTACTGGAAAACAAGCATTTTCTCTTTTTATTTTCTTTCACTATCAAGAAGAACACCTTTCTAATGCAGTAAATACAGTGACAGCTTTCAGAATTCAAATGTTGCTCTTCAACTTATTCCTTGAAGTTGTGGTGGAAGGGGAATACAAGTACATCTATGCTGAACAGGAGGAAAACAACATGCTTAAGAAAGTCCAACCCAACTATGCAATTCCATCAATGTAGATCAACACTAGCCTTATGAGTTTTACAGCAAGAGGCCAGAAGGAACACATTCATACTGATAGCTGGTCAGAGAGAGAAGAAAAGACAAAGCCACAGGAGACCTGGATGGCTTCCATGCAATGTTTCCTTAGCAGAGAGCCAACATGAAACTGGGTCCTGTGCCGTGTGTCTTGTAGCAATAAAGCCCCAGGGGAAAATTATTCTATCCTGGGGCATTTTGTTTTGAATTACTACTGGTGGTTTGTTTGGAGCTATGGGAGCAGATGGTATCATCCTGGAAGCCCTGAGTGGAAAACAAAAACTTCTCCCTTTGCCACTGGTTTAGGATTTGGCAGTGAACTTGGGCCTGGTAAATATTTCAGGAATCCATGCATAAGTTAGAAGTTTACTGAAGAGGACATCATGTTAATGGAATATTCTGCCATATTTTCTCTGCCTTAACAATTTTATAGGCTGCTGTCTTTTATCTAAGGCAGTAGAGACGATAAAGTAGCAAGCAAACAGCTGACTGGTCTCTGCCACCATCAGGCAGCCAGTGAATCCCACACACCAATGTTAGAAAATTATCCCCTCATTTGCATTCATGGTAATGAGAAACATTACGGATAATTTTACTTTCACTTCTATATGGTAGCTTAAAAAAAAATTAAACTACCAATTTTCATGACTCTTACAGACTAATTTCATTTTCCTTTAGAGATTTCTTTTTAAAAGCACATAGAAACTTTGAGAAACAATGTTTTGCGAAAAAAAAATCCGAACTGACAAGGCTGTGCAGTGTAACATACACTGAATGCTAATACTTTTTTACTTTTATTGACATTTCATATTTCAATATTTCCACATATGAATAAATTAAACAGAGATTTTATTAGAAACCTTCCCCTGAGCATTCTGACTACTACGATACATTTTCAATTCCTACCAAAGTAAATCTAATTACAACATGTCCTTTTTGACTTCAGGTTTTAAATGATCAAAACATAATGTCCTTTTATAAAGGACTTACAATGAGAATGCTTATAACTAAATTGCTACTGACAGAAGAAATGTAGTCCCAGAAATCACTGGGAAAATGCAGGATTTCTCTATTTCTCATAGATATAATATCTTTCCTAAGCATTTCCCTCAGTAGAGTGAATGGCCTATAAAAAAGGCAACTGCCACAGGTAAATCAGATGGAAGATAAAAAAAATCAGAGACTTAAAATTCCAAAATAATTGGCAAGTACTTACAAATTATATTTGAATAGATAGATTTTTCCAGTGATAAATCCTGAGTAACGAAACCCCTTGTTCTTTAGACGTGAAAGTTCAGAACATTTATTGCAGTTAACAAAACTACCTAATGACTGGAACCGTAGCAAACCCATAATTTTTGCAATTCCTTAAAAAAAAAGTGAAGAAATTGAACGTAATGTTGCCCCATTAATTCCTATTCCACAAGATGTTCTGACATTTGTTGTTTTGTAGGAAGAGCAATGAAGAGGAAAAGCAGGATGGCCTTTTGGTTTTCATTAGAGTGGAATTAGTAATAAGCTGTGTGAAACTGAGTGCTTGGCACAGCATGAATTCCACTCCATGCCACAAGCAGCTACTGCTGAACAGGCCTTAAATTGTCTCCAAAATATGAAGGCAAGAGTCCAGTCTTGCAATCATGGCTGATATGAAAAGTCCTTATGTATCAATAGGATCACTTACACAGATAAAATAACTGCACTGAGACCAAAGGAGAAGAATTAATCTCTTGTTTAGTGGCTTCTGTATAGAAATGTCAAGTACAAAGCTATGTTTGTAGGAGTAATTTTTTCATGAAATGTCCTGCTCAGATGCTTAAACAATCAGGCTTGAGCTATTATAGCATAATACTATGTGAGCAATTACAGTGGAAAGCTGTAAAGTTCTTATGGTCAAAACATTAAAAGGACAAAGGCTCCTAAAACATCACAAAAGCTGGAAGGGTAAAGTTGCTAAACTTAAAAATATTTGCAAAAATCCTTCCACCTGAGAACTACTGCACAGACTCACTGAACATACATGAAAGAACAATATTGGAAGTAAAAGCTAGCTGATTGAAAAATGGCCCAACTGGTCAAGGATTGCTGTGCTGAGATAGAAAAAGAATTTGATTCAGTTAGAGCGTAAAACCCCACAAAACTTGCTTTGCAAAAAATATAGACTGAGAAAAAGGCAGGCAAATACTTAATAGGAAAAGATACATTACAAACAAAAAACTGCACTAAAAGAAGTGCAGATTTTTTTTAACTGCTTGCAATTAACATGCAGAGGAAGGAAGGAGATAATTTCACCTATGAATTTTCAAGGTAAGAGAAAAATGACATGAACTTCAAAGGAGCATGAAGGTACTTGCAATTGAAACAAAAATGGTGTGTTACAAAGACACAAACTGCAGGGCTTACAATCATTACACTGCAAGAGTGATACACACAGTGGAACTAAAGGATTTGTGAGAAGGGAAGAGAAGCTCTGACAGCCTGCAGAACGAAAATGAGGGAAATGAAAATGGGAAAGCACTTGTGCTGGATGACGTGCACAGTAGGTACACTGATAGGAATCACCTGCTCAAAACAGCTGAAATTTGGCCATTGTAATTGAATCCAAAGAATGGCACATATTGCACTCTGTACCCCTCTGTACAACCCAGACTGATAAAAGGCTCTGTGCTGAACTACTGAACGGAGACGGATGAATGCTGGAGAGAGGAGTCCATCTCATGCAGGACACATCAAACAAACTGACTTTCAGTGCCAAACCCACTGGCACATTATACAAAACCAAGGCAAATAGCCCACAGCAGAAATCAGGACTAGGTCCTACTGACCTCGTGGCATCAGGGATGTAATGGAAAAGGAGGAAAGGGGGATGGTGCTGCTGGCACAGTGACAGCCCCAGAAATGACTGGTGACCTACTGAATGCAGCTTTGAGTTAGGCTTCTGCATTTTTAATAATGAATTTCAATGTCTTGTTAAGCAAGAAGCGTCCCTTCACCCTAGTGATACCAGTGATACCCACCTCAGGAGGGGGAATAAATTCAGTTACCTTGTTTCACTGGTGACTGCCCCAGGTTCTGTCTGCAGTGAGTCCTGATACTGTACCAAAGCTTCTCAAAGGAAATAGCAGAAGCTGACACTAATCCTAAATAAAAGTTTGAAAAGCCTGAAAATTAAAATTTATGTACGTGTAATGTTAGTGACAGACTTCGCTACTTGGAGGAAGTGAATACAGGAGTAAACCAAATTGAAATTAAGAGGAGTTGATCAGATGGCAAGGATGTGATGTAGGTTAAGAAAGTAAATGACAAAAATAAAAATTTAGTGGTTGCTCCACCTAAAGACAGTTTCTATACTGTGCATAGTAAAAGATTTCAAATTAGCTGAATGAATATTGATAAGGCTTTGTGAATTTCTCAAGAAGTAAAAAAAGGTGGAATATTTTATATACTTAATTCTCTAAGCAAATATAATTAAAATGTAATAAAATGTATTTTCAAATGCACCAACATTCAGAAAGTAAAATCTATCTCTGTTACATTAGCCTACGGCAGTTACTCTTTTTTTTTTAACTCAAGTGTCCCCTTTTCTGAACAACTTTTACCCTAGATAAATGTAAACTACCTGTTCAAATGATCATTGTGCTGCAACAGGTAGCAGCCAAGTTGTATTAAACTCAACTTCCAAGTCTCTCTATAATCACATTCAATTTTTAAACTCCATTTTTGTTTGGGAAATATTAAGATAAAACCCAATTCTTCAAATGGTGAGCCAGAAAGCTGTGGAGAGTCAGCTACAAAGGAACTTCTAAAAGTGCTTGACTTTCAGTTTATAGAAGTTTCCACTGTAATTTCATCACAGATCCTTGTTTTTCTTACTACATTGCTAAACTTCATTAAAAAAAATTATATTGTAAAAAAGCAATGAGTCCTTATGTGGGTGATGAGGCCCTTTCCTCTCATATTAGAAAATTAATGAGAAAGAGGTGAGCTGGGTAGAGACTGAAGACTCTGAAGGAA